CTTGAATTTGGAACAGTTGTTCAATAAAAGTAGGACCTTTTTTTATCTTTTTCCGTAGAAACACATTTGGTTTTTTTAAAGTAACTTGATCTTTTGGAGAGCTTCTTGTATGAAACCAGCTAAATAACAAAGACTCGTGTTATAAAAGGATGAATAAGATTATTCTGGTAATGTGCATGCTGAAAGACGTGTCCCATGATTGCAGCTGTGGGCTGCAGTCGGTTGTTGATGAGTGGAAAGGATGACTCAGCAAGAAACAACGAATTCATAATCAAACGTAGCTGTGTTGCTTTTTTTTGGTAAGTTTAGAGTCTCTATCTCCAAGTTTTGAGGGTTTTTTTTTCAGGTGGGGAATTAGCTCAAATGGTAGAGCGCTCGCTTAGCATGCGAGAGGTAGCGGGATCGATGCCCGCATTCTCCAGTGTTTTCAGTACTGATGTCGTTAAAACTCACACGGCAGTATTCAGAAATATTTTCCTATTTACGTTTAATTTTTCTTGTGTAATGGTGTACAGAAACCTAAAAGAATATTGATTTAAATATTTTATTTTTTCATTTCGAAATCAGATGTTTGCTCTTTTGAATAGAGGAAGTAAAGAATAGAATCTTTGCGTGAAATAATCAAATTTACTGACATCTTAATTCAATTAAAAATGGCATGTAAAATTTATTGAGAAAAGGAGATGAGGAATTTTTGATTGGTCCTTAAGTATTTGTTTAATGATTTCATTCATTAGTTAACTTTACATTTGATATCATAGTTCAGTGTGTAGTGAACAAAATTTTGTATTCATGCTTTGAGTAAGACTCATTGTTTCTACTGTATTTTGGTATTTTAGTTGTAGAGGCTGTTAGAAACAGTGGGCTAGAACATTCTGTACTTTTTTTGCAGCTGCTAGCAAGATTGTGCCTTTTGCTTGTGAACTTTCACATCTCTGAAGTAGCACGGAAATTTTCTCTCTCAATCTGTGCTTGCAAATTTAAGGCTTCATGAGGATTTTTTTTTTTGTTTAGTGGTTGGTGTGTTTGTTTGCTTTAATTCTGATTTTATTTTCTTACCAGCTTATTCAGATATTTAACTGCTTGTACTTCTAGTTTGACGTAGCATGAGGAAACTAGCAGAATGTGATTCTTACATGTACATTGAATTTGTGCAATTAGGAACTTGGGAGTGCACATACTAAAACAAACAGAAAATGGGAAACAAAAGTTATTAATTGGGCTCCATGATAAGGGAGGAGGAGAAACTCTGCTGCATAGATTTACAAGTAGCACCTGTGAAGAAAATAAGGGAGCTCTTCCTGTGACCCTGACAAAAAAGAAATTAACTTCTAGATGGAATGGGATAGAAATCGCATTTGCTTATTTCTCTTGTATTTTCCAAATACTGGAGAGAAAAAAGGAATTGTGACTGTAAGGCTGCTTGATGCCTCTTAAAATGAAGTCTAATGGAGAGAAAAGTATTGTGGTCTTGTCATGGGTCCCTTTTGGACTCAGGTAATAATTTAAATGTCTGTTTGCTTGGAGTGAGACTCTTCAGTAGTCTTCTCTGTGATTATTATTGTTTCTATGTTTTCTGTGTTTCTGTTACTGCATAATAACCTGATACTTTCTGTGCTTTTAAAGGAAATTAGTTATATTGCTCTTCTTGGCTGATCAAATGCAAGTTGTGCACTGGTGGAGCGAGGGAATTTGGTGGGGCTCTGTTCAGGTGCACTCTGCAACCACGCGAAAAGCTGAAAGCTCTCAGGAATAATGACTTTTATTAAATTTATCCCCAGCTTCCTACATTGGGGCACTTCTGTCTATTAGGGCTTGTAAACACTGGAAAAGCTTACTTCTAATTCTTTTGGTGTAAATATGAATAGAAGTAAGAGGTCTTTGCTCATCCTGTGTGGTGTTTTATGTCCTTATTTTTTAGGTAAATTATCCTGAGAAGAATTTACAGGATTGAGAGACACAAGAGTCTTGGTTCTCAAAGGAATACTACCTGTGGAAGTATACTGCTTGTTAATGGGTAAGTAGTTCCCAGAGCCCCATGTCAAAGGAGTGACCACTCTGGATCTGTGCTTTCTGTGTCAGAAATTACATAGAGATATTCTTTGTAAAGAACCATGAGGAAATTCAGTTTTATTTGTTTTATTACTCTTATTACTCTTACCACTCATACTTTACACTACAGTCCTCTGTAATGTCATGCTTAAATCAGTTACACAAGGTAGTTATTAATTCTGAAGAATAATTTGTTTGTACTAAACTTGCTGGAGGATATTGCTATGTCTTTGTGTGTTATAGTCTGCAAATAGGAAATAATTACTCCTTAGCTGCCTTCTATCAATACCTTCTTCCAAATATTACTTAGAAAATCTTTCAGGCTGAGATGGAGCTTGGGGACCCTAATATGGCAACTCCGGAGACAGTGTTGTACAACATGAAGGCCATCTGTAGAATCTGCACTCAAAAATATCAACTCTGTGAAACTCTTCTTTTAAATAAAATTATTTCACAACAAGACTGTAGAACATTTGTTGCTGCTAAATGTAAGCCTTGAGATCTAGTGGATGGGTCTGGACACAGATGGACTGTGGAGTCTGCTGTGTGCTTTCAGAGACTCATGGAATGCAAGTGGGCTTTGGTTTGGTGAGCCTTTAGCTCTATTTCTGTCATGTCTCAAGACTTGCAGGTGTGCTGTTCATTGTTAGTGCAAAATCACCTACAAAAGAAGGATTAATCTTAAAAAAAAAAATGCACAGGCATTGGGTGGCCATTGTGCTTCTGTCTGACCGTGGAGCTAAGCAGGTTTTATCTTAATGCAAGTAGGAGCACAGCCTGGTGACATTATGGATGGACAACAGTGGACAAGGCTTGTGTAGAGGTCTCTAACAGCCCTCCTGCACCTGCTCTTGATTCCAAAAAATAGGAGAAGGACAACTCTTTTTTTTTTTTTTTTTTTTTTTTTTTCTGTTCAAGGCCACAATATCTTCTACAGTGATGTTATAATAGGGGAGAACTTTTCAAAATACTCTTTTTTTCAGTATTGTTGCTACTTCCACAAAAATACTGAAACAGGCTACATAAGAGAATCCCTTCAGCCAGCTTGTTTTGACAACAGAAAGCTCCACATTGAAATGCAGCTTAAGGAACAGTTTCACTGCACTGTAAAAGCTTACTTCTAATTATTTTGGTGTAAATATTGAAACTCCTGCTTATTTCTGTTGTTACAAAAATCTGGCCAAAAGTAGTAACTTAATAAAAGAAAACAGAAAACAATGGAAGGACTAAAAACTATAGTAGATTTATAATTTTTATGCATACAGAGAGAGCAAAGCCAGTATTGGGCTAAAATGAACAAAGGATAAATGCAGAAAGGCAGAGCATTTTATGTGTGAGAATGAGGATGGTGCTGTGCAGGGCCAGGAGCTGGACTCCGTGGTCCTTGTGGGTCCCTTCCAACTCAACATATTCTGTGATTTGAGTCCTCGCTGAGGAAGAGGTGTCAGGTTAGCTAGAAGAAAAACATCTTGCATCGTTGCTCTTTCTGATCTCTACCAGAAGTCTGTGAATGAGTTTTACTCTCTCTTTATAAGTTGTGAAGGAAAAAACTGAGTGTTATTTTTAAAATAGGATGTCAAGAACAGCATGTGGGTGTTGCCACTGGTTAGTGAGGTGTGTGTGACAGGCTTTTTTGTTAGAGACTGCTGCTAGCAGCAGCCATGTGCTCAGGCTGCAGGTCCTCCTGGGAATCCCTCATTGCAGTGACTCTGGCACACATTTTGGGATGCGTCTCCTTTCAGGTATGTTCACCTGCAGGTTGCTTGGGTGTATGTTCCCCTCATGTCTACATGAATGCCAGCAGGGCCCTTTTGGATTGTTCTGAGCCTGCTGCCCTTCTCCAGCACTCTGCAAGGGGAGCTGGTTCTCCCACCTGCCAGTGGGTCCCCAGCACGGTGCAGGTTGTGGTTCCCAGGTAGGATGTGCACGGTGCTACCGCAGCCGCCTTCAGCTGAGCTCGGCATTGGCTCCCAGGGAAGGGCCTGGAACTTGAGTTTTGTAATTGACTTCTGCAGGTGAAGAAACATTTGGTATCACGGCTAGACATTTGTGGAATTAATTTTCCACAGTTCTTGTGCTACTGAATGTCAAACATTTCAGCCTTTGAAACTGTCACACCATTCTGAACGCTGTGTCTAATTAGCACCTCTTTGATATAGTTCTTCTGGCATTTCTGTGGCTTTTAAATTTTTATCTGTATTTTTCCTTTTCTGCCTTTGGCACTTTTTTTTTTTTTTTCCTCCAAAGACCCTCCTGAATCTAAGTGTCTTGCTTGAAGCCGAGCTGAAAACCAAAAAAAATTAAGCAAAGCTTCACCGCTGTGTGCAAACTTCGCTATTACTGGAGGCTGGGGTGCGGGCTGAGCAGGGGTAGCAGGGTAGGGACGCAGCCACGGGAATTTGCTTCCCAGGTGTAATAGCTCCCACGGGATCAGACGTAGCGGGTGCCTGGAGAGAGACGTGTATGGACTGGGGAGCTGGCGAGAAGGACACAAAGAGAGGAGAACACGCCTGGGAAACTCGCCGCCGGGGCTCCGGCGGGGACAGACCGGGCGGGCCCCCGGGACGGGAGCGCGCCTTGGGTGCCGGCCCCGCCCCCTGGCCCGGGCCCCGCCCAGCTCCGCGCGTTCCCGCGCTCCAGGGCTGCGCCTCGTCTTTCCTGGCGGGAAGTGACGGAGCCGCTCCAAGGGGAAGTGACGCGCGTGGCGTGCGGGCCCGGAGCGGTGTGGGGGGGGCTCGGACAAGATGGCCGGATCCACAGGTCTGTGAGGGGGGGCTCGGTGGGCCCGGGAGAGCGGCGCGCTGGGCTCCTGCTGGGGGGGACGCCCCCGCAAGGGCCCGGGGCGGGTCTCCTTTCTCCGGGATGGGGGGGACCAGCTCTCTCCGATGGGAGAGACCCGGGTGGGGAGGAATTGTCTTCTGACAGGGGAAAAGGGAAGCTGCAGGGGCGCCGGGACAGGTTATCACAGAAACCCAGGTTCAGTTAGGTTGGAAGAGACCTCTGAGATCATCGAGGCCGACCTGTGACCGAGCACCACCTTGTCGATTAGACCGCAGCACCGAGTGCCACGTCCAGTCTTTCCTGAAGCACCTCCAGGGATGGTGACTCCACCGCCTCCCTGGGCAGCCCCTTCCAATGTCTAATGAGAAGAAATTCCTCCTAATTCACTTATGCCCGGGCCTCATCCCTTCCGTCCGTGGGGCAGCGACATCCTTGTGAGAGCCCGGCCTGGGGGTGCGTGATGGGAGACAGGGCTCCGCGTGCCGGGGGAGGGGAGAATTGACCCGCCAAGAGGCAGCGATGAATGGATAGATGCTGGTGTCCCAGGGGAAGGGAGGAGATGTTGTTAGCCCGGTAAAAATGCTGCAGGAAAGAAAGATTTGTGCTGAAGATTTGTCCCAGTGTACTGCTGGGTGAAGATAGAAGACGTGGTATAGTGGTGTCTAAAATAAAAGGATTGCCTGTGTCCCCTCTTTATTCGGGGGGGGGGGGGGGGAAGGGCTTAGGCCTGTGCTGTGTTTTGGGACAAAGGTGCTTCACTTTGGTGGTGACTGTAGCATGGTGGGAAGGAGGAGTGGAGCTCTCTTCCCTGTGATATCCATTGGAGCTGAAGGGTCTCTCATAGCCAGATTTAAGGGCAAAGAGCTGCCCTTGCAGTGTTACATCCCAGGAAGCCCGTCTCAGTAACCAGCACACCATGTGCAGAGCACTGGTGTGGCAGAACGTTGTGGAAAGTGGTGGCAAAGAAAGGGACAAGAATACTGCTTCGAGTGCTAAATGTAGAAGCACAATTTGACTGTTAGTTTCATTCCGCAAGAGGCTTGAAATACGAAAAGACCTTTCCCTCAGTGCTAAAACCTGAAGTCTTCAGGGGCTTGTTTCCTCTTCTCTCATCTCTGGGACTTTATAAATGGGATTACGATGGACCTCAGGATAGGGGAATGACTTGATTTCAGCGGCAAGTAAATGTTGGCCACTAATTTATTTCTGTTGCTGATCCTTTGTCCACTGGATCATTGGAGAATTGGGACTATAACAAAATGTAAGAAACATCTGTATATTTAAACTGGTCTTGGTACCTTGCTGTTGATCCTGTGAGAAGAGCTTGGGCAGGTTTTGCTGTTTTTTTTAGAGGAAGGAGAGTCATCTCCAGTTGGTTATACGTTTGGGTATGTGGGATTTTCAGAGTGGAATTTGATAAAGTAACTTTTGCAACTATGTGGAAGAGCAGTCCAAAAAGATAGCTATTGCCTATGATAAACTGAGCTAGAGTGGATATATTGAGAGAAACCCAAGTATTTGCTCATCTGGGAATTACTGCATTTTATTGTGTTAGGATTCTTTTTTACTTTTTTTCCTGTTGTCTAAATTTAAAAGGTTTTTTTTTACAGAGCAACATTGAAAGACTTCATCTAGGCTGTCACTGGAGATTTCCTGTAATACACTAGGAAGCAAAGTTGGTTTAGGTCATGTATTGGGTACTGGCATTTGGCATTCAACCTGGCTAGTGCAGAATATCGGTTACAAAATTTTTTTGTAGTGAGAAAGTCTATTTTCTTTCTACTTCAGCCCTATAAGAATAAATGTTTCACTGAACTTCGATGGTTTCACTGCCATAAGTGTTCTTTGCAGTCTTACAAGAGTTGTTTTAAAAATCTCTTATATACAGTTACTCAGTGGGGGTTGTTTTTGACTCAGAAATACAGCCACACTTAAAGTTCATAAAAAGCAGGAGATGTAGGAAACTCCTAATATGTGTGACTGCTCCAAACAATGTAAAGGGTCAGTACTGCGTGTATGTCTTGTTGAAGAAATTAAATTAAACTAATTTGTTGTAGTAAAATGCAGCAAGCAGGCTGAATCATCAACAAAACTGCTGGGAAAATTAGTCAGAGCTTCTAAAACAACATATCCTTGTGGAGAAAATACTGAGACTTTTTATTGGTACACACATGAGGTGGTGGGGGTTTTGTTTTATGCTTTCCACATAGTGTGAAAAATTCAGACTTCACCCAGAACTGCTCTTGCCTGGAAGTTGTGTTATAATAATTTGTGGAGGAGGGGAGGGAATGATTTGCTATAGACTTAACTTTGTTACAGACTTAAGGTTTAAACCTACCTAGCTTTGTTATTTTAGTCTGGTCTTGCTATAAAGTTCAACTTCATAATTATTTATTTCAGGAAAAAAAAAAGTTTTGACTGCATGAAGTCAAGGAATGAAATTTTAACCCCAAGGAAGTCAACATCAAAACTTTTACTAAGATCAACTGTCTTACTTTTATCCCAGAAGTTCCTTTCCTGGGCTCGCTAATTCTGTGAACAATCATGTAACAAATTATGTGCATTTAACAGCAGAGAATTTAGTTTGAAAATAACTGTTCTTTAATGTATGCCAAAGAAATTGTATATATCAGTGCTAAATTGCTGTTTGATAAGTATCTTAACCAGTTTTCTAAAATCACCTGCAATGAGTAAATTTTGCATTTAGATACTGCATGTGCTAGAAATGGATATTTGTAAGCTGAAGTTTGATCTGATATTGCAACTCCTTCTGCTTGAAGCTTGATCTAGGTTATTTGCCTGGGTACTGCTGGAGGTCTGGGGTTAAACAAGTCAGTTTTCTAGAGAAGAGAGCAGCTATATAATATATAATCATCCAGTTTCATATTGCTTAGCTGGAGATTCATTCTGTTAGTCTGTTTGAAAATACATTGAAAATACAGCTTCGAGTTAAAAGAAATATTTCACTAAGGCATACCATTTAAACATCTCTTGTGTGTCTCGAGAAAAGCATATAAAAAACATCATTACAAGGAGTTAATTCAGGAGTGAATTTCTGCATTTTGATAATTTGGGTTTCACTTAGTATTATATTGCCTATGATAAATAATATAGTATTATATACCGTATATAGGGTTATACACACACACGCACATACATATATATATATATATATATATGTTAATGTTCCTTAAAGGCACTGAGGGTGTCACAAAGTGGTTAGAATTTATGTGGGAAAATACGAGAATTAAGGCAGCAGTGTCAAATATGGTGCTGTAACTATGGGCTACTAATGCTTTTGCCTCCTTCCTCTTCAACTGAGAGCTTCAGTAGCTTGGGGGAGGGTGGATAGGGCTGAGTTAATGAAAATTCCCCTTGGCTTGCTGAAACTGGATGCTCAGGGAAGAAAAATTGACTGATCTGCAGTCAAAATTGTATGAGATTCCTGATTTACTTCTAGTATGTAGTCTTGAGCAACCTCTTTTGAAAGTGTGTTTGAAGGTACACGGCTAGATCCCTGTGAAATATTTTTTTCTGTAAAATCCATACTTTTAATTTCCACTCATTCTACTCTATAAGGGTGAAATGGCTTCATTGTGTAACCTAATTTGCCCATGCAAAAACGTGCTTCCCTTTGATTTTATAGATGATTGATTCTGTGAGTAGAAATGGCTCAATGCGCGTCAGTGACTTATTTTCATAACTTTGTTTTTTACTTCTGTTTGCAAACATTTGGTGGTTGTGGAAGCAGTTCTGAGCGTGCATGACTACAGCAGTAAGGAAGAAGGGATTAAAAGTGAAGGGCTGGAAGTGGTCTTGAGTGCGTTCTAGGCTCCCTGAGCCGTGAAGCAAGGACTGACTGTGCCATTCCTAATGGCTGGGCTTTTGGTGGTGGTTTTAGTTTATTTCGCTTTGGAAGTTGGGGTTTTTTATTCATCTCTTAAAATACACAGTTGCAAGATACTCTATGTGAGATACTTTGCAACACTTTCTCTTAAACGCCTTGAAAATCTTTTTTTAGTTCTAAATTAAGCTGATGTCTGTCTGTTCTGTGCTTAGTAGGGTAAAAATTTGTACCCTGAGTGTGGGACACCTAGATATTAAGAGATATTCAGAGGAGTAATAAAGGGATGTATTCATAAATGAGTTGAAGAAGCAACAATTTAAAGACCACTTTGTTCATGTAGGAGATGTGATATAATTTAAACTTCATGTCTAGAAAAATGCACAGGTAGGCTTCTCTTTTTGTCTGACCTGTTGAATGTTCATTTCCTTTTTTTTTTTTTTCTTGTCAAGGAAATAATTGTGGTTTTTATCCACTGTGGGATAAAAACCTTGAGGGTTGTGTTTACCCCTTTACCTTGAGGGGTGTGTTACACCCTCCCATTTTCTCTTTTATGCCTCTGCCACATTGTTCATCTATCCAGAACTGGTCCAATAAGTCAGTTTAAGAGCTTTTTAGAGTTCTAGAGTCCTCAAAGTTTGTTCTGTGGGTTTACAGTGTTAGCTCTGTAAGCACAGACTTCTTGAAGCTGCAAGTAATCAAACAAAACAAAAGAAGTAAAATATTGTGTTCCATGAGGCAGCAAGTATTCTGTATGGAGCATTTTTTCCATCCTGTCCTATGCACAAGGAATTGCAATTGCGATTGTTCTGCCTGATTAAAAACAACTTGACAAACCACAAATAATTTCAGCTGCGTTGAGAAAAGTTTAGATTACAAATTGCTTTAAAACTATATATAGACCATCAGTTCTTTCCAACTTTGGGGCATATATAGGCAAGATACCCTGTTTCTTCTCAGAGCTTTGCCTGTATAATTTTCCTTTGTTCCTGGTATTTTATAACTCTGTCTTTAAATACAAACCTACTTATGTCTTTCTGCCACTGTGTAGCTGTGTAAGAGTGTTCTTGCAGCAAAGCAACTTACCTCTGCAATGAAAAAGTGGCCTACTTTGTAATCTTCTATTTGTTTAAGAGCTTGTTGGAAATTCAAGGATGTTATCAGACATAGTATTGAAGCCCATTATCTAAACTGTTCTGTACAATCCTGGAAAATTTTAGCCTGGATAAAGGTACAACACAGAATTTCAGGAGGATATGCCTTTCAGCAGTTGGAGGCAGATGGTCCGTACTACATATCTAAGCATGCATGGGAAGGCTTCTCATGTAAGCATTAGATTTCCAAGTCTTATGAATAGTTGGTGGAATTGAATTACATATGTATTTGTTAGTATTTGTGTTTTGCCTTATGGAAGGTTTTCCAGAGGCAGTGTTAAATACATGCTGTGAAGCTGTTCAGCCTCTTTTTGTTAACAGACCTTTTGTCTCTCTGTCCCTACTCTTTTTATCTACTATTATCTCTTCTATCTGTTATTTTTTAGTATTATCTGCTATTTTAGTATATCTACTATTAATTATTTTTATCTGTACTGTAGCTCATATTTCATCTT